AAAAGGGAAGTTTACTTGGTGAAAATCTATTGGGCTTTATGTTACTCTATAGATAAGTAACTAGCTGACAACAATATATTGAATCAAACTTCATTATAATAGAAAGCATTGAATCAAACTTCTTTATTGTGTAAAAAAGTATAAAAATACAAAAAATCCCAAAAAAATAAAAAATATGTTTAAATTAAAATTAACAGAACACATCTAAATAAGGTTGAAAAAGTAGCAAACAAATATTTTGAAAAATCAATTTGTGACTATGGGTAGTTTAAAAATAATTCAAAAATAGAAAGAAAAATGTGAAATGAATATTCATGGCCAATACACTTTGCAGTCATTGCCAAAATGATAGAAAACGTAAAGAAACATATTGCAAAAAAAATTCTTATTTTTGTTTTTAATATAATTTTTGAATTTTTTATTTAGGATTCTGAGCGTCATCACCAAAATCGAGCTTAACTGGACCCACCCACCGGGCAGGTCTAAGTAACTTGGCCGGGTCTGAGTCGATCAACACATTTTGAAAACAGTGATGTCTACCATTTTCATAGCATGCTAGTGCATGAAATCTTCATTTCTTTCTTTCCATTTTTTGAACTCCACATGCGTTAAAAGCAGCTCGCAAAACATTATTGGTATTAAGGAACAGAGGCTGTTTTGCCTTCTTTTGGGAATTGTGAAAAAAATTAGACACCACCAGTAGGCACATCAAACTCACACATAATGAACTAACTATATCAATAACTTTCTATTGATTTATATCCAAAAGGGTGCAGTTGGCATACGGATGCATCCGCAATGCAGCTTTGATGCAAAAAAATAATAACACCATCAAAATAAAAGGAAAAGGTTGAGAGAATATACCCTCTCTTAAGGTCTGCAAGGAAATTCATCCCAAGGTTGAGAGAATATACCCTCTCTCAAGGTCCGCAAGGGAATCTACCCCAAAAATCTCTTCACGAGACCAAATTTTATTAACTCATCCACATTTTTTTACAATGAAGGGAAACCTCCCTTTAAATAGAATAAAAAATAAGATAAACATTAACAAGAAAAACTCTCTACACTTTTCCTATTTTCTCTCTCTTCCCGTAACCTCATGTACCATCCCCTTTTATCCAAAGCCTAAAAACTACTTTTTATTTAACCTTATGCTTCTACATTCCTAAATTAGCTCTCCTAATTTAACCTTATCTATTTATACTCCTAAACTAACCCAATCCAGTTGATAACTAATTAACCCAAATCCATAAATATCAACTCACATACAAACTCCTGCACACCTCTTAAAGTTAAAAGATAAACTCAAATAAATAATAAATTTATTTTTTTCTTTTTGCATCATTCTCCCGGGATTGGGAGCAGCTCGACCTCAAGCTTGATTCAAAGCGGATCTTCTTCTTCATCACCATGGAGGTCGATTTGTTGAATTTGATCTTTCAGAACGTCTTCCTCTTCCTTAGTCAAGTGTACCTCCATCTTTTTTTTTTTGGGCATTCAAACGAACAATGTCCTGGTTCGTTGCATCGATAACACATAAACTTTGCATTATCTTTTTTTTTTTTCATTAAATTTTGGTTGGCGTAAAACTTCCTTTTGGGGATAAAAGCGCTTCATAATGCTCTCTTGGTATTTCGTTTCTACTCGTAAAGCAAGTTGAAAAGCTTCACTTAAAGTCCATGGACGATATAGAAAAACCTCATCCCTCATAATAGGTTGAAGGTCATTTACATATGGAGCAATCTTTTGTCCTTCCGTCTCTTGGAGGTTATTTCGAGCAACTAATTGATAAAACTCCCATGTATAATCTTCTACTTTTTTTTTCATTCTATCGAAGATTTTGGAATTCTTGAAAGAAAATTTGTTTATGATCCGCAGAAAGAAAATTTTCTTTCAATTTCTTCTTCATCTTTTGCCAGCCAGTAATTTTTCCTTTCCCACTACGAAATCGGGATTGTTGTTGTTAAATTTGATCTTCCAGAACGTCTTCCTCTTCCTTAGTCAAGTGTACCTCCATCTTTTTTTTTTGGGGCATTCAAATGAACGATGTCCTGGTTCGTTGCATCGATAATACATAAACCTTACATTATTATTTTTTTTCTTCATTAAATTTCAGTTGGCGTAAAACTTCCTTCTAGGGGTAAAAGAGTTTATCGGTGCTCCCTTGGTATTTCATTTCTACTCCTAAAGCAAGTTGAAAAGCTTCACTTAAAGTCCATAGATGATGTAGAAAAACCTTATCCCTAGTAGTAGGTTGAAGGCCATTTACATATCGAGCAATCTTTTGTCCTTTCGTCTCTTGGAGATTATTTCAAGCAACTAATTGATAAAACTCCCCCGTATAATCTTCTACTTTTTTTTCATTATGTTAAAGATTTTGGCTTTCTTGAAAGAAAATTTGTTCATGATCCACATGAAGAAAATTTTCTTTCAATTTCTTTTTTATCTTTTGCCAGTCAGTAATTTTTCCTTTCCCACTACGAAATCGAGATCGTTGAACTTGCTTCCACCAGGCCGCAGCATACCCATAGAGCTTGGTAACAACAAGTTTAATCTTACATTCCTCTGGCAATTCACTCCATTCAAAATAATTTTCAATTGAACTTAACCAATCAATAAAGCCTTAGATGTGGAGCTTACCATGAAATTCTGGGAGGTTGACTTTAATACCAAAATCTCGTGGTCGTTCTATAAAACATGGATCTGGCCTACAATCTTCTCATGGTCGTTTTATAGGACGGAGATCTGGCCTATAATCTTCTCGTGTCGTTGTATACAACACTAATCTGGCCTGTAATATTCGTTACGCTCGAAATCAACACCCTGGATTTATCGTGGACTTCTTGATGCAAGATTAATATGGTTGCTAGTACCTTCTTCACGAGGAAGGTTATGCTCCAACCGCTGCAACCTCTAATTCATCTCTTGATTCTCCAACCGCTGCAACCTTTGATTCTGATTCATCTCCTTATTCTCCAACCGCTGCAACCTCTGATTCATCTCTTGATGCATCTCACGTACTTCAGTTCGAAAATACTCTAGGGCATTAGTCAAAATTTCTATAGCTTGCCCCCAACGATCATCCGTAGGAACAGGATTAGCTTAATTTGCTTTGGTGGCATTGTAAACTCTGGACCTAACTTGCTCTGATCTAACTTGTTCTAACGCCAATTGATGTAAAAAACTAAAACAAAAAAATATAAAAATAAAAGGTTGAGAGAATATATCATCTCTCAAGGTCTGCAAGGGAATCCACCCCAAAAATCTCGAGATCAAATTTTATTAACTCATCCACCTTTTTTTACAATGAAGGGAAACCCCACTTTAAATAGACTAAAAAATAAGATAAACATTAACAAGAAAAACTCTCTCTATACTTTTCCTATTTTATCTCTTCTTCCCTATTTTCTCTTTCTTTTCTTAACGTCACGTACTATCCCCTTTTATCCAAAGCCTATAAACTATTTTTTATTTAACCTTATATTTTTACATTCCTAAACTAGCTCCCCTAATTTAACTTTATCTATTTATACTCCTAAACTAACCCAATCTAATTGATCAATATGCACAAGATAAATTCGATAAATTCATGCCCACCTAATTATCCTTGTGCACCCTATTCCTGAAGAGATAAACAAAAAAATAATTAAAAATTAAAATATCCTTAATATTATTTGCATCATAATTAACGCAAATTGATGAAGCTCTGATACCAATTAATGCAGCTTTGATGCAAAGAAATAATAACACCATAAAAATAAAAGGAAAAGGTTAAGAGAATATACCCTCTCAAGGTCTGCAAGGGAATCCTCCTCAAAAATCTCTTTATGAGACCAAATTTTATTAACTCATCCACCTTTTTTTACAATGAAGGGAAACCTCCCCTTAAATACACTAAAAAATAAGATAAACATTAACAAGAAAAATTTTGTCTATACTTTTCATATTTTATCTCTTCTTCCCTATTTTATCTCTCTTCCCTTAACCTCATATACCATCCCCTTTTATCCAATGCCTAAAAACTACTTTTTATTTAACCTTATCTTTTTACATTCCTAAACTAGCTCCCTCAATTTAACCTTATATATTAACCCAAATCCATAGATATCAACTCACACACAAACTCCTGTACACCTCTTAAAGTTAAAAGATAAACTCAAATAAATAATAATAATAAATTTTTTTTTCTTTCTTTCTGCATCAATCCGTAGGTGTAGAGGTAAGGTGTACCTTCAAATTTTATCATGGTATATAATTTTGATATAAAATGTTCTTAGGATTATCTTAAAATCTATTTTATATCTAATTATAAAGTTTTAAATTTAAAAAATAGTTAAAATCAAGTAGATCTTGATATCGAGGTGATCAATCAAACGATTTTTCAACACTAAAACTATCTTTTCCAATGAATTTTTTAGGGGTATCCGTAGTTCTACATTATAAGGTTGCATCTTTATGTAAACTTTTTCCTTTCCATAATGCGTGTGTAGTTAACTAACT